TATATATATATATATATATATATATATATATATAACAAAAACGGTTTTCAATTGAGCACCAAATCAACATTCTAAAATAATTTCTAAAAGATGACTGCAGCTTTGAATTACATGAATACATTACATTTTAACATATTAAAAATAGCTCTTTGAAGTTGTAATAATATTTCAAAATATTACTGTTTTTACAGTATTTTGAGAGACTTTCAGACTTGGTGAGCATAAGACACTTTTAAAAACATTAAAAAAATATCTTAATTACTCCAAACATTTTTAGTACTGTTTCCAAAAGGAAGTGTATATGGTAGTTCCAAATGTTTGCCAATTTGATCTATGACGCTTATTAAATAGTTATAGAGAGCAATGAAAAAGAAAAAACTCATATAAGGGATACAAATAGCTAGTTTTGTAAAATGACTCATATGAAGATCCTAGTCACTTGTCTGCTCCATCAGTCTGATATCTATAACCTTTCTAAGCATAGACAAAACATGAGACACATTATCCTAAATGTTACAATAATTGTGTCATCCCCAAAATCCTCCACTCTATACAGGAGGGGTGCTAGATATGGTAATGGGGTGACTCATTCTCCCATATTGCATTTGTTCTTAGAAGACCTCTGATGTGCCATCAACATCACTGCTGATATGTGGCCTCTTGACTCCCATATAAGGACTATTACATCATGAGTGAGGCACCCATATGGCAAGCCAATTTTACATTTATTATTTAAACATTTCCTACTTTACGTTACTAGTTAGTAGTATCTACTTTACTGTAAGTTATTTAATAGTACTAGGATTAGACAAATTTATATTTATGTGACACTCATACAAGTATATATCTCAATTGTTACTATAAGCATTTAGAGAAAAGTAAAGACATAAAAGATGACAAGACATTAATAAACGTCTCCCACTCCAACTTAAAGACTCGACACAACAAGGTGGACTCAGACCCAATACTACTAATTATATAAACATTGTTACTTGTCACCATTGTAATAGTACTAGAATGTAGTTAATAAACAGTAAACTGAATAAATATTAGTCACTATTGGAATACATATCAATATTGGACTAATTAAAAATGGTTACATTTCATTTTACGGTGTCCTTGTTACAGTGTAATTGTACATTTAAATACTGAGTAATAATACTTAACAACACGTACTGTACTTACTAAAGGAAATATGTACTTACCATAGGGTTGGGTTTCGGTCAAGGATCGCAGAACGAACCAAAAGTAGCGGGGGCCCCGTGGGTGGGGGGCTGGGGGGTTGCAGAACTACATTATAATATCAGAAACAGTACTAGTGGTATTAGTTAGATGCCAGATATATTAGCCTATGCATTTTTAAGCTATGACTCTCCCACAATTATAAAAACAAAACAGTAGACAACTAAACAAAATATGTAATTTAATTGAGTTTCTGACAATATGTTTTATTTATTGATGTACTATTTATAAATGTGAGTCTATTTAAAAATATATATTAATTTAAATTAACTCATTATTTAAAAATATTGATTAATTTAAATTAATTCCTTATTTAAAAAATCATTTGAAATTAATATTTGAAGTTTCATCCAGAGTTTTTGAATCTCTTGAATGAATGATTCAGACATCAAATACATTTAAAAGTCACTGTTCGCCACCTACTGGCATAATGTAACATATACAATCTTTATTTGAAACGTATAATTAGTTCCGAAGGCCAATAACCCATTTTGATCGAGGCTGCCACAACATCAGAGTCTATATCCGGACTAGAAACATTTATCCCAATACTTTCGTTATTATTTAAAGTTTGCAACACAGAAATGTAGCCTGCTGTGTAGACTGTTTGTGCATTAAACGTGCATACATATGAGCCTATAGCCTATGTATTTTTGTATCCCATGTAATATTTGTAGCAGACCTCAAAAGTAACCTGGGCCCAGGCCCGGGTGGCCCCCTGCTTCCGCGACCCATGGGTGATATTGCACGTAATTATGCTTAGTTTACTGTTAAAATAATAATAAAATAAAATATTTAAATTATAATAAAATTTAAAATAATAAAATAATCATGTAAATTGTTACGTGTCTGACAAGACGTGAGACGTGCGGATCCATTCGCAAAGCTTTATTAAGCAGAAGACAGAGACGTGGTCATAACAGGCGGGGTCAAACAATGACAAACAGGTATATGGTGGGCAAAACACAAGAATAGTCCTAGGGCTAACGCAGGTCGACGATCAGCAGACAGAATCAAAAAGGGGCAAGACTAAAGGGGTAAATCCAGGAAAACAGGCGAAGACCAGAAACCGAGAAAACAGGCTAGGCTAGGCTAGGCTAGGCTAACGATGGCTCTGTAGTGTAGCTATCAACGGATAGGCGCTAAACAATACTCGGCAGTGCAATGGGATCAGAGTGAGAGTTAAATAGGGGATGTGTGAGTGATAACAGCTGTGTGCAATCAGTGCTGTGCAATCAACAGTGTGTGGGTCGTTAGTGCAGTGGATGATGGGATATGTAGTCCGGGGTGATATGCAACAGTGTGTAGTGCAAGAGTCAATGAAATGGGAAGGGGGACCTCTGATGGCTAGCAGACGGAAGTTCATGGACCGGATACGTGACATAAATAATAAAGTTTTACCTTAAAAAGTACTAGTTACATACCAATAGACAGGCCTAGTTAGTTTTAAGGGATAAATGTCGTGCCAGCTTGCCATAGCACCCACGTTTAGAACCCTGACGTAGCCCTCCAGCGCGTGAGGAGGGGCGAAGGTGGCCCGTCGGCACGAGCGCAGACAGCAAGGAACAGCTGCAGAGAGGCTCTCGTTCATTGAATTGCACCGCATAGCTCATACAATATTACTGTTTTTCCCCAAAAAACAAATAATATCGTCCAAATCATAACCATACAACATGGTTGACCGCGAGCAGCTGGTTCAAAAAGCCAGGCTGGCTGAGCAGGCAGAGAGATATGATGATATGGCAGCAGCTATGAAATCGGTAAGTCATACTTTCAATTTACCCTTGGGGTTTTATTTGTTTGATGGTTTAGTTTGACCAACGATCGCTAAATCTATCTATCTATCTATCTATCTATCTATCTATCTATCTATCTATCTATCTATCTATCTATCTATCTATCTATCGTTAACAAAATACATAAATAATTTAAAATATATAATTTTCGTATTATGCATACTATACGCTGGTAGGCTAATTGTGAATGATAATATAGGTTGAGTTACAATAAAATATGGCATGTAACGGGAGCCTTTAATATAGTGTCATATAATAATTTTTGGGGTGATGATCTATGATAAATCAGTGCTTTATTAATGAGAGTGCAGTGGATCGGGTGTAGACTGTCTGGATCTTGGGCGGTGCCTCCTGTCTTACCCGAGCCCACAATCAAATGAATGAGACAACACATGACAAATAAAGATGTTTCAACATAGCTTTCAGCATTAATGAAATGAAAAAATAATGAAAAAAAGAAAATCCATATTTTGCACATTATTCTTTTTTTAAATCGTTGCTTTGTGTAACATACTGCATATTCATGCTCATAACACAGTGTATAGTATTTGATTTTAGACTAGAAACAGGCGTACTGTCATTGCTGTTCATCACCCAAGCATAGTGTAATATAAATGTCATAAAAGCATTAGATATACTTCTTCCATCATCAGCATATATAAATTCCAACTGCCTTTATTTTTGTTTTACTCACGCATCCTCACAATTTAGTTATGCCTTCCCATATTCATTTTCCACATATGGGAGTTATTTAGATATTTCCTCTAAACCAACGTTAGAGGCAGCAGCATTCCTTCTAGAATCTTCCATGCTTGTCATATTGCAGTATGGTTCAGATTGGATATTCCTTCTTGTTTCAAACCCAACGATTTATATATTATTAAAGGCAGTGTATCTCTTGTACAGTGTTAATTCATAGTGAATATTATTTCTGTGAATATTTTAACAGTATTTGAGAGGATGAGCATACAGGGCACCATAATGAATTCGGTCAAGGCCTTAGGGCTTCTCGAGGGGGGGGAGAAGGGGAACATCTGCATCTCTAATGCTTCTTCACCGTCAGCATCCTGACTACATTCCCATCCGAGTGAGGGCATTTAGGAGACTAGTCTTACACAGACTTATGGAGATTGAGGAGGACCCCTGCGTTTCTGCTTTGTCTAGGGTTGACATCATGCTTTTTTCTGGAGGGATGTCGTCTAGCATCTCTTATTTCTGGAGTGATTGAATGGTTCTTACCCTTGGTAATACGTTTCTGACTTAATTAAAAATGACATGTAGATGTGTCTGCCTCAATACTCTTTATTCTTAGGCCTGCAATAAATGATCTTCATACTGAAACAGTCATAAAGCAACTGGGTGCAAAATCTGTTAATTTACAACCCCAGATGTGTTGGCACTCATTAGCAGTGCTTTACAATAAAGTCTTGATTTAATACCAAAATGTGCAATATTAGATTAAGTGTATTGATTGAAACATAGAGTAGTGACAGACAAGATCCACCCGATTAATTTAGCTAAAATGGTTGTATTACCGTAGCGCCATATTAGCTTGGTCTAAATCTCAAATGGCTGTTAAAAGGGAATGTTCCCATCCTTGCAAAGATTGTTGTGTATGCAGGACAGGCAATTTTAGCTTCATGGATCAGTGGGGGAGATTTAAAAGCAGTTTGACTCTAAAGTTACTTCAGTCCTATAGATAAAAGCCCATTTAACCACAGACCTGATGGGAAAGCGCCCACAGGCCTCCATTATCTTGATGCGTCCGGCCAAAGAGACAAGCAGCAATAGGCCAAGCTTCAAACTTTACATTGGAGTGAGATCATCTAGTTCTTACGTTAAATTTGTGAAAGGCTTCCTTCCATGTAAATATTTGCATGCGATTGCAACATGGCTACCTAGGTAACAAGGTTACCCATCACCCACCACAAATATCTGTTACTATCTGTCTGTGAAAGGCATGCCAAATTAATATTGCGTAAATAGCAATAAGTTTGTTTAAATAGAACCCTTTCATATCCTCCTGCCTCTGTTTCGTAATGAGTCCCCTCTTCCTGTGCGAGCAGTGTTCCTGTTTCCTACTCTGATCTTTATTGAACTGTCTAAGCTGCCTTTGAATTCAGTTCTCTTTGTATTCGGAGGACTTTGAGGGAATAATTTTAGCTTTTGTGGCTGGTAGCTAAAATCAGACACCTTGATCTGAAGCATCGGCTTTTGGTTCCCAGAGCTAGATTGAAATGCAGGGGTGACAGAGCCTTTGGTGTTGCTGGCCCCAAGCTATGGAACAATTTGCCATTATTCATCAGAATAGCTTCTTCAGTGTCTGAGTTTAAAAGTGTTTTAAAAACGTATCTTTTTTCCCATGCTTTCAAAGTTTTGTGATTGTGGTTTTCTAATGACGTGTTTATTCTATTGTGTGATTGGATCAATGTAACTGTGTACAGCACTTTGGTATACTAAGGTTGTTTTAAAGTGCTTTATAAATAAATTGAACATTGATCTGAAGCACATGACATTTGAAAAGTGGTACACTTACAAAAATAAAGGTCCTTATTGGCTTTGATGGTTCCATGAAGAACCTTTAACATCCATGGAACCTTTCCATTCCAAAAAAGGTTATCTATAGTGGAAAAGGTTCTTCAGATTATTAAAATGTTCTTCACACAAAGACTCTAAAAAGTTCTTTGAGGAACCCAAAATGTGGCATCACTGCGAAAACACAGTTTTAAAATCTTTATTTTCAAGAGAGTACAGAAAACAATTTAACCCATGATATTATGTAATTGCACCACAAAGAGGCTCTGTTGACTAGAATAAGATCTGTAGTTGACATGAGAGATTTATGACTTATCCTCGTGAAAATATGGAATCAAACCTGTTTTACATATGTAGTATAGCTGTCCCAGTTTGGCAAGAGAAAAGGTCAGCGAGAAGGCCACTGTAACACATGAACTGCCGCACAGCGATCGTGTTAACTTACACTGCAGCTGCCCTGGAGGGTATGTGGGAACATTTCGCCTCCCGCCCCTGCCCCCACTCTCGGCTGAAGTGATTTCACCTCTAGTGTATTGTGTAGTGCAAGCACTCTGTCATCTCACTAGATAGAGTTGGACTACTGTACAAAATGAGACAATTGCCATGGAAACTGCACTTGGCATATAGCTCAAGCTCATGGCTGCACAATGCATTCTGCCAGCCGATGAAGCTCTCTGTGGATATTATCATTATGCAACTGAAAAATTAACTGTTGCACGTTCATTTTTTTCGCTAAATTAGTTGCGTAACAAGAAAAGCTTGTTATTACCTTGCTGGATGATGTACGCCTCTTTCCTCAAAAAGCGTTCTATTTCCTTCCTTTGTAGGTAACCGAGTTGAACGAGGCCTTGTCCAACGAAGAGAGGAACCTCTTGTCCGTCGCTTACAAGAATGTCGTAGGAGCTCGGCGCTCATCCTGGAGGGTCATCTCCAGCATCGAGCAGAAGACATCCGCGGATGGCAACGAGAAGAAGATCGAGATGGTAAGGGCCTACCGTGAGAAGATTGAGAAGGAGCTGGAGGCCGTGTGCCAAGACGTGCTCAACCTGTTGGATAACTTCCTGATCAAGAACTGCAGCGACACCCAGCACGAGAGCAAGGTCTTCTACCTGAAGATGAAGGGAGACTATTACCGTTACTTGGCCGAGGTGGCCACGGGCGAGAAGCGCTCCACCGTGGTGGAATCCTCTGAGAAGGCCTACAACGAGGCTCACGAGATCAGCAAAGAGCATATGCAGCCCACTCACCCCATCCGGCTGGGATTGGCCCTCAACTACTCGGTCTTCTACTACGAGATCCAGAACGCTCCGGAGCAGGCCTGTCATCTCGCCAAGACGGCCTTCGACGACGCCATCGCCGAACTCGACACCCTCAATGAGGACTCCTACAAAGACTCAACCCTCATCATGCAGCTCCTCCGAGACAACTTAACACTGTGGACGAGTGACCAGCAAGATGATGAGGGTGGGGAGGGCAACAATTAAAAGTTGACAAGTTCTCAATTTAGAAACATAAAAATGGCTGGTGGACTTTGGCAGCAGCTTTTGCCATGGTTTCCTCTGCAGCAGCAGTTCTTTATTTTTCCACGAGTTAAAAGAAAAAAAAATATCAAGGGTGGTAAAGGGGGGGCTGAAGTCCTAGTTTGAATATATACAGAAATATATATAGTTGAATGGGCCTCCCTCTTCTTGGTTCTCTTTGACATTTGCCAAAACCACTGAAATGTCAGTCAATCAGCCGGAAACGGTCGTTGTTGGTTGGGAATGGCAGCCTCACACTGGCATATGGACTGATGTATTTCAAAGGGATGCTGCTTATTTATGTTTTGGGTAGTAGAAAAGCATTTCAAAAAGAGGGTACGGTGGCGTTCGAAGAGTAAAAATAGTATTAAATGGTTCCAGTATTAGTCACGAGTTGATCTGTTTGAATCATCCTGTATGCGCTCAATTAACTGAACTGGGAATTCGATTTAAATAGCTATTAGATGGAAGTGCGTTGAATAAAATTGTGTTCTTTTGAATGCACCAAAACAGGTAAAGTTTAGTCATTGTCATATATTCATCACAGTCGGATACTACTGGAACCATTGACTTTTTTGAAGGACAGGCTGGGGAAAAGGCAGAGACTGATCTGGTTTTAAAAAAGAAAGAAAGAAAAGAAAACAGGAAAATATTGCAGCTTCAAAGTTTGTGGTTTACTTCTGTGTTTAACTTATTTTTGCACTTGCCAAGTATACTGTTTTGTCAGTGTAAGATAATTACAACGATACTATCAACGATTCAATATTGTGCATGCTGGTGATGTATTTATACAATAGCTTGACTTTATTAACTTATAACTTGGATGTTATGTATTCCTATAATTGAAAAGTAAACTGGCTTCATATTGTTTATTTATAATTTATCAGTTTTCGTTTTGATTTGCTATTCCAAAATTGTGATTGTTAACAATAAATCGATCTGTTATGGGCGTTGCCGTTGTGACATGGAATGTTTTTTCTTTAGCTAGGCTGACTTTCGAAAAACACTACTGATCACTTAAATGTACCGGTGTGTTTCTTGGTAAATTGTAACCATGACATTGTTAAGCAATGTTTTGCTCTCTGAACAATATATGAGTGCTCTTCTTGTCATATTATGCACATTGAACGTGTGGTTTAAACAACAGTGACGTTACCGAATCAGTGTTTCCATGACCGATTCAGAACTCCGGACCATAAATTGTCATTTCTTTGCCTTTTTCCTTTCTTGTTTTTTTTTTTGTTACTTTTAGCTGTATCCTTAGTGACAATATCTTGAATGTGAATAACTATGTAGCAGTTGCACAAGAGCCAAAATAATTATAACAATAAAAAGACAGAAAAAAGAATTCAAGTAGTCATAGATGCATCATGTCAATCAATGCTGGTCGTGTGTATTGTTTTCCATTATTGACTATAATTATTGATTATTATTGATTATTGAAAAAAAGAGAGAAAGCAAAAAAATGTGTTTGCTATGTGTTCTCAAATCCAAGTCCTGTTGTTCTTGTCAACCAATCTACAGTTAAGCATCATTATATGTTTCAAAGCTCAAGATGCCAACAGGTTCAAACACTGGTGAACTCACAACTGAATTTAAGAAGACCAAATGGTTCTTCTCTGCATTGCACCTACTCTCCATGATTAGTGCTTAGCACTGCATTGCAGAGCTCACCTCTCCCCAATATAATAATATGCTTGACATACGAATGTTCCTCGATAAGGACCGTATTATTGGCTTTAGTTACGGCATGCCTGCATTAAAACTCATTTGATGTTTGATGAGGGTAGAAACTGCAAAGAAATGGCTGACTTTTTTTTTTCATTTGAAAGTCACATGACAAACCTGCATGCCTGTAGACATTTCCAATTGAATTCATTATCAGCATGACTAATTATTTGAATAATTCTCTCACTGATGCTAAACTCGGATCTCTTCTGCTGTCTGAAATGAACGTGATGTGTGACTGCCACCTAAACTGTACGAGCACCATCTGAAATCACACTTCACTCTAGTACCTTTTGCGTTTGTCTCTATTTCTTTTTCATATTATGGAGGTAAAACAAACTTACACACTGAATTGCTAGCTCTTTCAGCATTCTGCTGCAGCCTCCTACAGCAACCCACACCCAGTAGAGCAAGAGATGAATTTCTCTGCTCAAAATGGTCCACAATAATAGCCAATCGCAGGCACAGTGAGCTGTCATATCCACCAATCCAATGCATGTTGCTATGGCTGCATTTAGATGTCAGACATATTTAGGCTATTCTGCGTCTCTTTTTGGAAAACATTTAATTGCTGCTGAATACCATGAACAAAAAATCAGCTGGCTACATAAAAACTGGACTCAATTAAATAATAGATAATAAATAATCAAAATAAAGCTGCACGATTCTGGATAAATTGAGACTTTTTTTTTTTTTTTAAATGGAGGGTGTAATATAAAAAGCCACATTGTAAAATCCAGTGGCCCATTTTCCTTCATTATCCACCCCAATCCCAAACCTCCTTACAGCTGCCGACAGCTTCCCAGCACCGCATATACCAACCTACAGCTCATCATGCCAGTCATTTGTAGTAAGACAAAGTGATGTATTCATTTCAGTTCATTTAATTTTGTTTTCTCTTCAGTGTTATGGACTGACAATGTTACAGATAATAATGATAAGAACCGTGTCCTTGTATTTGAGGACTAAACTGTTGTACTGTTAAGAAAAAGGATAAACATCCTGGAATGTCCTGCATAGCCAATACATGTGCTACACATCAATGTTTGTTTAGACCCCTTGAAAAAAAACTGTCTTTGATCTTTCAAGCTGTTTCATGGCAGTCAGCGGGTGTTGCATGCATCAGTCCAAAAGAAGTGAAATAAAAAGCACCCATCCATAAAAAAAAGTGTCTCACACGGCTCCGGTGGGTGAACAAAGGCCTCCTGTAGCGAATCGATGCGTTTCTGTAAAAAAAATATCCATATTCCAAATGTAATAATCACTTTAATGTAGCTTGCGTCAACAGTACACGGAAGTAGCTCCGGGAGGATGACGTATGAGTCAGCGTTGCGCATGCATCGGTGAGTCTCGTGAAAACCAACGTTTGTTAACAGGATCAAAGGAAGCAAAGTTTCCTTACTTTAGCAAAGGAAAACCAGTCTCCTCTTGGCTTATATCGAAATCCTCCGACATTCTTCTTTACAAATCCTTGATTTGTACTTCTAATCTGCAACCTTTGTGTTGTTCTCTCCGCTGCGTTTCTGCGTGCGTCACTTTTGAGCTGCGCATGCGTAAAGCCAACCTCATACGTCATCTGCCTGGAACTGCTTCGGTTTACAACAGTGAGCGCAAGCTAGATTAAATTGATTGTTACATTTTAAATATGGTTATTTTTCTTACAAAAACGCATCGATTCGCTACAGGAGGACGTTGTTCAGCCCCCGGAGCCGTGTGAGACACTTTTTTATTATGGATGGGTGCTTTTTATTTGAATTATTTTGGACTGATGCACTGCAACACCCGCTGAGTGGCATTAAACAGCTTGAAAGATCAAAGACATTTTTTTATATAACTCCGACTGGATTCATCTGAAAGAAGAAAAGTCATATACACCTAGGATGCCTTGAGGGTGAGTAATTTATGGGCTAATTTTCATTTTTGGGTGAACTAACCCTTTAATTAGCATTTTTAAATTAAGTAGCATTTTTGTGCCTAATTGTGTGTGTGTGTGTGTGTGTGGCATAGAGAAACTAAGGGAGAACTATTCCTAACTTTTTTTATTTTTGAAAAAAATCAAAAATCACAATGCACTGGTTTTTTTTCCTTCATATGTACTCACCACAGCAGAAAGGCTGGGAACTAGTTTGACAGAGTTCTGCACCTCCTCCTCAGTGACCTCAACCACGGTGCAGTGCTCCTCCTCCAGAGGCAGAAGATCCGTGCCATCAAGAGTGACCCACGGGTGCAACTGCCCACAGACTCAATATTACACACACTCAAGAGCAACGCTACCATCTACACTTAAAAATACTTCTCAGCAATCTTTCAATATGATTTCACCTTGATTTCTGGTAACATGATTCTAGTTTCAGGAACTTTGTCCAGCATTCTGATAATGATATCCTTCAGCCCATCACTGATCACAGGCCTGTGCAAACAACACAAAAACAATTACACCATTTCTCTCTCTCTCTCTCTGTCTGTCTGTCTGTCTGTCTATCTATCTATCTATCTATCTATCTACAGTATCTATCGTCTGTCTGTCTGTCTGTCTGCCTGTCTATCTATCTATCTATCTATCTATCGTCTTTCTGTCTATCTATCTATCTATCTATCCATCCATCCATCCATCAATCCATCCATCCATCCATCTATCTTCTGTCTGTCTGTCTGTCTGTCTGTCGTTTTGTCTATCTATCTATCTATCTATCTATCTATCTATCTATCTATCTATCTATCTATCTATCTATCTATCTGTCGTTTTGTCTATCTATCTATCGTCTGTCTGTCCATCCATCCATCCATCCATCCATACATCTGTCGTTTTGTCTATCTATCTATCTATCTATCTATCTATCTATCTATCTATCTATCTATCTATCTATCAGTTCCTCTAAATATATCTATCAGTTCCTCGAAATATTATACAATTTTATTAATATTATTAATTAATATATAGATTAATATTATACCGCTTATTTCTGTTTTCCCATCATGGTTTAGTACAGCGCTTGTGACTCACATGTCTGGGAACTCCACTGGCGCAGTCCTGATCTTTTCATGCAGGCCTAAGATGTATTCATCATGAAAAGTACACTGCACAAAGAAATACGAACAGATCTGTATTATATCCACAGATGCTCTTAACCACATTCATATTTTAAAAAGTCAATGTCTTACCCTTCCAAAGACGAAACAAAACAGCGTCACTCCCATTGCCCATATGTCCAGAGCCTGAATCCAACGAGAGTCGTTTGTAACTAATAAGAAATCAGTGTCTTCACTGTATGTAAACCGGAATATTCTATAAGTCTCCTCACCTTTCCGCTGAATCTCAGGTCCTGGTCAGTCAGAGTTTCAGGCGCCATGAAAGCTGGTGTTCCTGCACTGTTTGATAGGAGAGCATCATTCCCCTCAAACTCATTACTGACACCAAAATCTGCGATCTTGATGTGTCCATCATCCCCCAGCAGCAGATTGGAGGGTTTGATGTCTCTGTGTATGATTTTCTGATAGTGCACTAAAAATAAAACATGAAACAAAAACTAGCGCCAAATCCTAAAGTTTATAAATGACATTGACAAATACAAGACAACTTAAAATACCCTAGACTAGGAGAACGTACAGTATTCAATTCCTAGGATGACATCTCTGAAGTAGAAATGGGCCATTTCTTCTGATAGAGGACTGTCTGTAGGGATCTCCATCACTGGACTAGTACCGGGTGAAAATTAGAGAGATAAAAACAAACTAAAGAAACATCCAGTTTGTATATGTATGGTAATGACCTATAGTTACAAATACTCACCCTTTAGGTACCAACTCAAAAACTATGAAAGGGACACACAGAATAAATAGAAAAAAAAATAGATCAAAGAGTAAAACGCAAAGTGTTTTATATTGCAGATTGCTGACTAACAGAATTTCTTACCCATGTGCAAGTTATCCTCAGCCGGATCATCAAGAACCTTCAGTTAAATATCACAGGAAAGATGCATTTTAGTTAGTTACGGCAGAGTTGTTATTTAAATTAAAAACTGCTTGATAAAATAATATCATAAAATAAAATAGATTTAAAAACGAAAATAAATAATTCAGAATAATAATAAAAACTATATGAATAATACTAAAATAACACCAAGTTATAATTTATAGTATAACATATTTGACTTGTATGGTAATAAATTGCATACAATCCAAGACACAGTGTTTGACTCACCTCAACTAAATTAACAACATTAAGATGGTCAAGTTTCTTCAAAATAGCGATTTCCTGATAAACTCGGTCCAACAGGCCAGAGTGCTTTAAAAGATTCTCTTGTGATCCATTGGATTCTCTGGAAGGATGTCGCCCTACACAACCATCACAACATTAATATTAATATTCTGCAGACCAAAGTCACAAGCCTAAAATGTCCATTTTTATTGCTTACGTGGGAATCCACACTGCTTCATTAACTTCTTTTTGGATACCAACTTCATAGCCTGCAATAATAATAATAATAATTATAATAAAATAGATAAAATATTTTTAATAATAGCTAAATGTTAAAAATGATAATTTTATGGCTAAATCCTTACAGAAGAAAATAGAATTTTACATATCACATATATATTTACATAATAAATATAATAAAATCACATATAAATTTACATAACACATATATGCTTACATAATACTGGTCATCATCTTCATTATATGCTAATTTGACCACCCCATATGAACCCTGGGTAAAAAAAACAGAAGATTACCAGATATAGCCAATCAATCATAAATATGTAAAACAAATTAAGATTTTTAAGTAGAATTACCAACCTTTCCTATCTCACTCTTCAACTTGTACTGGTTTAGCTGGACACAGTCCTGTTGGTAGAAATGGGAATGTATTATTGTTCGTATAAGAAATATAAAAAAAATACATATTGACATTTTATTACACTCATATTTTGAGTATGACTCAGTGGTCAAAAACATAAAAGAAACAGCATTTAAAAAAAAAAAACCTTTATTCTAAATAAAACATTTAAAAAAATTATTTTGCAAGAAAATATTTCAGTCTTTACTTCAAAATTTTATATTTTAATTTAATGTCTTTCTTGACATTTCTTTATAATTATTTGTGAAATGTACAAGCAATTGTGTGAAAATGGTAAATCCCACACCTAAATGCATTCTTGATAACCATGCATTCTACTGTCTGATGTTGTGACAGCTCTAAAGAATTCCACGTTCATTTTTGTGAACATACTCCACTGATGCTCAACAATCCGAGGTAACACTGCTGCAAAAGTATAAAATCTCCTGCCCAACTCACATCCCCATCAGAGATAGACACCCGCTTCGATTCAATAGTGGGTCTTCTGGCTATCCGTGGGGTGACGCCACTCTGGTAACTGGATCGCTCCTGCAGTGACAGCTTGCGATCGGAGAGATTGAGGCGATGTGGGGTGGTCCTGTATCCATTAGGAGGGGTCAGTCTGCTGGCAGCCATGTTCATAGCTGCTACCATGTCCGCCAGTTCAGAATGGTAATCGGGGTCTAGATCCACCCTGTTGGCTGTGTCAGCACTCATGACTGTCCTGCTGCAGTCTGAGCAGCTTAGAACAAAGTACTCATCTCAGTGAACATTGCAGAGCCCGGTGTTCTTCAGAGGCTCCATAGGAACATCAAACTGTAAAAGCAGAATTGCATAGTTGAGTTTGACAGCAGTAAGATGCACACTCACTGCCATAAGTTCAAACACATTTAAGTGATGCATTGTTCTCTTTAGACTCTAGAACTTTTCACGTTTCAGGTTTAATATGGTTTTATTACTGCTATTATGAAAGCACACAAAATGGACCACAGATAAAGAGAACAACTCATAAAAGCATCTGTACTAACATGCATCAACAGAGAAAATATATTGTAAAACAATGGCTTCATAATGGCTTGATTAACAGGGAAGCACAAAAATAAAATCAAAAATGGTTCAATCCGACAAGGTTTATATAACCTTGTTGGATTCAAGGTTATTATTATTAACTAAAACCATTAAAAACCACACATTTTCATTAATTGAAATAAAATAAACATTAACTGGAAAAAAAACAAAACCCTAATTTTAGCTACACATGTCTTTTTTGTTTAGTTTAATTTGAAGTATTAAAATAGCTAAAATTAAATCTTAATAAAAACTATATAGACATTAAACACAACAAACTAATAAAAATAATAAATCACAGCAAAAATACAAAATTATAGGTAAAAAAGATCAAATAAAAGCTATAATCTACATTAACTGAAATAAAATCTAAAAACTTATTTTAGCAAGTTGCTGAGGAAACATTTGTCAGTTAATTAAAATATGAAGCCGTATTAAAATAACTAAAACTAAAAACATAATAAACTATATAGACATTTGTACAAACCTATAAAAATGACCAAATTGCTAAAACATTAATTATAATAACAATAAAATCAAATAAACATGAACTGAAATAAAATAAAATATGAAAAACTTTTTAAGTTGAAGTATTACAACTAAAACTGAAAGTTAACTATAAATGTAATAACTATACACTATATACTCTAATCTTAACTATATAAACATATAAAAAATACGAATGATAAATGCATAACAAAATTACTAATATTTTAACAAAAATTACAATAAAAAAAGGAGAAAAAGAAGAAAATCTAATTCAAAATAATAATAAAAACTAATAGTATCTCCGTTATACTAAATAATACTGGTGTGATTTTCACTATAAAAAATATTCTGGAAAAAAAATCAGTCTAACCAGAGTTATATCAAATAGGATGTGAAATATTGATATCTTATTCAAAACATACAAGGCATTTGACGTGTTAAAAAACGTTGCATAAGTGTGACCTCAATCAAAAAAGATTTCTAGTTTTTCCTATAGTATACATAGGAGCTGTTATTACTTACATAGAGCAGCAAGAGATTGAATTGCCAGCCATAGTGTTGCACGGTCTTCCACTCATCAGGCAGAAAACACTGCTGTGCCTCTGAAGCCCAGAGGACTCCAGTCTCTTTGGGATCACCGAAGCAAAGAGGATTAGCTAGCATGGTCACATTTAGTCCAGCGTGGCTATATCTGTTCCAAAAGACTGTTTACATGAACGGACTGCAGTCAGTGAAAGGACATGAACAGTGATCAATGAGTGATACTACGTCATTCTGAGGGCAAGTGCCGTAAAGCACCTACGGTGTGAACACACAAAGTATGACAAGTTAGTCCGGTTGCAGGGTGGAAAGGAAATGATGGCTAAGTGGCTAAGTTCTTGAACCTTGAAGTCAAAGTATAACAGGATAACAGTTTAGAGTTAAAGTAACATACTCTTGAGACAGTTTATCAGGAGGGAAAGAAGATCAAGTGTTATGTAACCTCATATAGGACAGCAAAATTGGATTCAATCCAAAACAAAGATACTTTTATAGAACATGTCAAGCTTTTTATAATCGGTGCATTGTCAGTTTTGTCATATTCTTGACACTTCCCCCCTGTTCAGAAAATAATCAGAAGGGTCATGTATAAGTTAGATGTCCTTTCCATTTTAAAATGATATATAATAATGTTATGTTAATTACAATGGTATTACTAGAAAGAGTTTTCTAGAAAATCACAGTAACAGGGTTGACAATTTATTGCCCTGCTGTTTTGCTAAGCTAGGCAAAACTAAATAATAAGGGCAAAAACGAGGACACAATTACTTGTTCTTGCAGCATTCACTTCCTGAAAGGGTGATGATGTCATTTTGAGTTTTGTTTATTTATCCACCTTATTTTTCCCATAAGAGCGAGCGTGGCCATTTGTAATTTTTATGGCACTGGCTTCCAGTGTCATCCACTGCCAGCTATTTTTAGCTGTACAAAACAGCTCGTTTAGCTGCTTGATAGTGCAAATTGGTGTATCTTACCATATTATTTTAATGTATTATCTTAATTATGAACACACTGGTTTGTAGTGCAAACAGTTTTACTGTTTACTGCGCATTGTTATTCTTTTCATCATTCCCTAAAGCGGCTAATGAACCAGAAGTCTCGCACATTTACAGAAAACGGCTTACTTCCTCTTTTTAAAAAAAGGCGGGTAGAACAGGGGAAAATAAAATGGTAACAGGGTTGCCCAGTCTTTTAATAATACATTTTTATAGAATAAATATACTAGTTATATGTTTATGTTTATTATGAGCATATTTGCTATTATAACAGGAAATTTGGAAACACGTAGGCCTATAATAAAAATAAAAAAAATCAAATAAAGTCAGTAAATGTGGATGATCATTATTCACGTTTCATAGAATTAAACATAGATAATTCATATCTAAACAGTAGAATATACAGACAGATAATTTCGGCTAATATTTTCTAATGTTTTTCTAAGGTTATTCTAACTATTCTAGAGCTGTCCAAGGTGCTGAAGACCCTCATACATTTTGACTCATGTTTTTGACTACATTTATCAAGGGTGTTGGAAGAGAATGTGTAGTTCTTTGTTGGTATGTTGGCTCCAATGAAAGCTCTGAAATCCCTAGTAACCAACCTCTCTGGAGCTTGTGATCATGTTACAAGATGTACAAATGCAGCATGACCTCACAGCATCAAGTCCTGGGTGAGAGGCAGTGTTTTCATAAATGGGCTGCAATGTCTCTTGAAGGGGATTCAATGCTAAATTTGGACAATCTCAAACGTTTGAACACTGCTCAACTTCTGGAGCTCCTGGAAGACGAGGAAAGGATGCGAGAAACAGTCAGACACAATTCAAAGGTACTGTTCAACTACACAGTCACGAACGACAAAAAATTAAGACAAAAAAATTCTGGTTGTCAAAAACGTTAGTTAAACTAAAAATGATATTGAGATTCGCTGATTGCAAAAATTGCTCAGAAAAGTTATAGCTCTGAGAAAATGTCAGGTAGCATTTGTTGCACGTTGCAAAGTGTCTAAATACTTTTATAGTGTCATTGTACATGACTTACCTGATCTGAAGGACTTGCCTGCAGTTACAGCATCTTCAGAGGTGTAAAAAGATCTTGATGGCCTCCAACTGTTGGCTTGCAGAGCAGAACTTAGCACATCAGCCACATTTGAACAACTCTAAAAAGCTTTTAGCTGAAAAGTACCAGATTCTTGGTCAAATGGTGTCTTCAGTGCGATGCAAACAGAGAAAGCTGGGTAAGTTCTTGGTTGGCTTGTAATATAATGCTGTTTTCTAATGTGTGTCACTGTATAACTGATCTAATGCTTGTGCAGAAACTTTGCAGCAGAAACTCAGCCTTCGAACGATTCATAAGCTTCTTAAGGAGAAGACCAATCATTCCTTGAGTCAATCCGAGGTACAGCTGAGATATGCGTTTCATTAAATGCAGATTCAGATTTCAAAGACTTGAAAGAGTGGTTTCAAAGTTTTGATTGAGATTTCGGTCTTTAACTCTCCAGAATCTCTGGCAGAAGTTCATAGAAGGAAAGCTTCTGCTGACAGATTTTGTGGAATCACTTCAAAGCTCTCAGATGTTGTGTCATCGACGCCTTTTTCAAGCCGAGAAGATCCATAACCTCATCATACACGCTCAGATATACAATCAAGATGCTGATTTTTGCCGTTTTGGGCATCATCCAAACTTCCTGCACTCACCAACCACAATCAATGTTTTCAGTGGCACCGCTCCTGTTATCTTGCTGCCTGGTTTCCAGTATCCTCATTTATCTCCAATATCAAATCTTCCTCCTCTTAAGCATCGTGGCTGTGTCGACACATTCTCGACTTTGATATCCAGAAATGAATCGAGCACTGAGACTCGCCGATTGCCACAAAGACATGCTGCTTTACAGCCACTTGACAAGATTCAACCTAACATTTACCAGACTCCCAAGTAAAGGTGTGATGCTGATCTGGGAACTCTACGAAAAGAATAAACATTAAAACAGAAATTTTGTGTGCAATTTGTCATCATTGATGTATTAGTCAAATAAACAAATGCAACCAAATAATTATAACAATTTTATCATCAAAGCCTCCTCCACTCTATGTAGTAAAATGGTTAATAATTGGTGATGGTTCATAGTTTTCATCTATTATATTTAGCTTAATTTGCTGCCATCTTTTATAGCTCAGAAGCTGTCAGTTGATTCATCTGGTTTAGAAGAAGGTCAACACGAGGACCAGTTGCTTGATTGGACTCATCTCTCTAATTAGAGCTCATTAAACAGGCTGAGAGGGTAAAGGAGAGCTTTTGTCAGGCCGTTGGCTTCTTTTGTCTCTGGATAATACTTTGGTTACATCACTGTCAGTAGGTGCCATTGTCTGCAGCAGCTCAAATTGGGCAATTTTCTCATCTGTCAGCTAAAGGCTTCTAGCCTTTGAGCAGCTCAGTCTGACAGACATTAACTGCCCCAGACAACTGAAAACGTTTATAAGAGGTAAAACTAAATAGTGAGAACAGGACCTTCAAAAACAATTACCGTAGATGGAAATACAAAATTCTTTATTACAAAAATAGATTCATTACTGAAAATAAACAACTTTTTTTAATGCTCACATTATTAAAATTACTGTTAAAAAGTATACCATATTGCATCATGTAAGAAATAAATAAGGATCCCAATCACATACTTAAAAAATGAAAACAAACACAGAAATCTTGAATGAATGTATTAACTTTCTTCTGTAAATTTCGAAGCAAATATTTTTGCAATTCTTCTAGTCTCTTCACTTCTCTGTGATGGAGGGATGCTTGGTCTTGATCGAGGCATTCTTCTATATAGATTTCCAGGATTTACAGTCTCCTAAAAGAATGAATTTTAATAGCTAAATCATGACAGGATTAAAAACAAATAAATCATTTTACAAATAAGAAAGCGTACCACGATCCATGAAATTTGTAGATTGTGCTTACAAGATAAAGATTAGACATTATGGACCACATTTGAAAATGTAGTCACTCATATCTTCTGAATAACGCCAATAGACTTGATAAGCTTAAACAGTAGGTTTTTCAAAAAAAAAAAAAAAAAAACCTGGTGTTAAAGGACATTATGATAATATGATCAACAGATTTGAGAGGAGGCTTCAGGACAGACATAAAAGACAAACAGACAGATAGAACAATAGATACAATAGAATGATATTTCCACCAACTTGCAGCCAAGGGTGTTAAAATACTATTTGGTAAGCTGGCAGTGGGCGGAGTCACACAGACCAAAACAAAAACAGACATTCTGACACAGAACGCATATTTCAAGGTCAAATAACTGGCTGTAGCATTGTTTTTCAGAGAAACAAGTATGTGAACTTAGCATGTTTCCTAAATATCTGCAAACATATTACAGTTTTTTTTATGCTTTAGTAGTCAAAAAATAATAATACATAGCACATTTAACTTTTTCAAGATTACCAAACAGTAGCAGCAGCTTTCTTATAGTTAAAAAAAATGGGAGAGTACTCACAGATTCAGTTGTTGCCGATGGAAAGACAGGTGCCATCCTCAAAGCCCTCATGGATGCCTCCAGATGGTGAGCCGACAGGAAGAAATTTGGAATCTCTACAGATTCCAAACTGCACAGGGGTGTTTAGATAAAAATAACCCAGATATGTTTTAATACAAGCAGAAGTTTAAAACACTTGTCCTACAGACTTCCATTTATAATGGACGTCTATGGGGCAAGTGTCAAAGTTTTTGTTGGTTTTTACAAAACGGAGGCAGATGAAGACTTTTTTTGTGGTAATCAGCAGCATGCCACATATGCTGTCAAAAGAACTAGAAAAATAATTTAAATTTTCAGGTCATACAAAGCTTGGAAGGATACGGTTTTGCTGTTCTCTCATCACTTTTATCATCTGTTTCAGAACCAGACTCTGCAGAGGGAGGCAAGTTTGGTCTCTCATCACTTTCTTCAGGTTCACTATTACTTTGTTCATAATCTTCCACCTCACTAATACTAGAAAGAGCACCATCTCCATCCAGACCATCTGGAGAAGATTGCTGTTCCCGATGGTCTGTGGCAATAGCACCGTCACTCCTAAATGTATCGAGATCAGTTTCAGATCTTTCACAGATATCGGAATCAGAATCAACAGCTTGTGATTCTGCAGTCAATGACTGCGGGTTAAAGTCTGGAAGAATGTCTCTGCTGTTTCTTTCCTCTCCTTGAGTGTGCATGGTGTCGTCATGAGCGTGATGCTGCACTAACTCCAGACTCTCCAGAGATCCCATATCTGGGTCAGACAGTAGGCTGGTCCAAGGGCTGGTTCTGTCTGTGACTGAAGTGACCTCATTGAGTGTGCGGGGCTGTATTAAAGTTTCCTCAAAGTCTTCATGCTCATCTTTTTCCTCTTCATCAGATGAGTGATCGCTGGAACGGTGGTGGAGCTTTTCATCTTCAGCAGCAGCTGGTGACTGTCTGATCTCTGCTGGAGCTGGAGAGCTGATGGGCGAGACTTCATCTTCATCCTCCGACATCATGTCTGATTCCTTATGAAAGCGTGGCTCTAT